CTCTGCTGATCCCCGTTACAGATGCTGTGGTGTAATCCAGTCTGCTCAGCCCCTTTATCGAGCTAATTCTGTCCCAGCAGGTTACAGCGTTAATTAAACAACTGGCATTGCAGTGTTAATTAAATAATCTGTAAATTTTACAGACTGCCATTGCTGTACTCGATTCACCTTAAACACATATAGCTGCTCGCAATGCACATCACAGCCCAAAAGTCAGCTCCTCCCACCGCTATTTGCAAACACAGATTTCCCAGGAAAACCCAGAGTTTTGCCCTTTGCTGTTTGTTCAGCGTGAGGATTCACTGCCCAGGACCGACACAGCCGAGGCGGCACCTGGCGATGCTTAATTCATGCCCATCCGCTATTTGGTGTCAAGTGGAGTGGGACAGCGCAACGTCCCCCTCCCCGCAACGTCCCCGTCCCCGCGCCCCGGACCACGGCAGCGCCCGCTGCAGCCGCGATGCCCGGATCGGCTGCATCGGAGCAGAAATCCGCAGGTGTGGGACAAAAGCAGCAAAGGGAAAGGCAGAGTCTGGACTGGCCCCCACCGCAGCAGAGCCCTCCCCGTGCTCGCAGGGCCCCGAGGTTTGCCCTGCACCCGCAGAAACGGCCGCACGTCCGTCTGTCCACAGCCAGACCCCCTCCCACCAGGGAAAGCTCCACCTCCTCTGCTTTTCACGTCTTTGAATGGGTGAGAAGAGCTCAAATTTTTTTTTTTTCACTGGCCATGGAAAATCTTGGTGGTCAAAAACAATCTCTCAGCACTTCTAGAAAGGGATTTAACCCCACACAGAAGAACACCCAGTTTGGTCTCATCCCTTGACTCTCAGTGTGATACAGAGAGGGAGCCAAGGGGAGACACCGTCGAGAGCGACAGCAGGGAACTGTGGATGCTGACACCTGCCCTCCCTGGACCAGCACGGGTATTACTGAGCTACGTCTAATTAAACCTATCAGAGACAGCTTTCTGCAGGATCAGCAAACACCAAACATGCCGCATCATAGCTACCCCAGAGGGAGAAGTAACCGGCACTGTGGCACACGAAATGCTCTTCTCTGGGAAGCCCAGCGTTTCAATGAAAGCAAGCGTACGGGGGAGAGCATTTTGTTCAGCTTTCCTTGTCCTGTCAAAGGGGACCAAACCCCCCACCGCGGGGCCACAGCTGACCTGTGGATGATGTGCTGGCTCCGCAGGTAGTCCAGGGCCAGCCCCAGCTCGCAGATGAAGAGCTTCACCGTGCCCTCCTGGAAACGCACCTTCTGCTGGAGGTGGTAGCGCAGGTCACCCCCGAGCAGCAGGTCCACAACCATGAACATGTCCTCCTCGTCCTGGAACGAGTACCTGAAACGGCACAGGCACGGATGATAGTATTAAAAAAAGAGAGGTTACAAGATTACCTCTGGGAATACTCCATTTCTTGGAACATTTTCACTTGGTAAATAATAATTTCATGATCTTTCCATGCTCTGTTCCCTGCTGTGACTAAACTACTGCGTATACTCTGACAATAATTGAGGTGGCAATAGTTTAGCTTCAAACACATAACAGCATCGATGCAGCTCATGTGGACAGCCATCAGCAGGGCCACCAGAAGAACAGGAACGCAGTGGGTTAATGTCGAGCTTATCACAATCGGCCACATCCCAACCCCTCACTCAACGCAGTTTGATGCTGATTTCACCTTCCCTGAGCACCCGGACCCTGACCCCAGGGGCCCCGCAGGAGCCCAGCCCCACACACAGCCCTGCCCAGCCATCGGTGCTGGGGCTCTCGGCCAGGCTGTGCTCCCGTTTTGTTAACAACCCCATTGCTCAGCACGACAGGGGATGCAGCTGCAATCTGCCGCTCCTCCGAGTGACCTCGTTTGATGCAATTATTCACCGAGCATCCCTTAGAGACAGCCCAGCGATCAGTGATCAGCTTCCTTCTCCTGATCTTTCCTTACCATCGCCCCAGTGCCCCACAGGGATGAACTGGCTCTCAGTTGGGGTCTGGGCCAGGCTGGTCCCAGAGCTGCGTGACCCACAGAGCCGACTCCACCGGGGAGCAATGCCGTACCATAAATTAACGAGGAAGGGGTGCTCCAGGCCCTGCATGATCTGCAGCTCCTTGAAGACGTTCCTCACTTCGTTACGCTCCACGCACTTCTGCTTGTTCATGTATTTCATGGCGTACATCTTCTTGGTGTCGTTCTTTTGCACGACGCAGACCTAAGCGAGCAAATCGAGGGATAAGTTGGGGTGATTTGTCAGCAAACCCGGGTGAAACCCGGTCACACCAGTGCTCCCCAGTGGTGTTGGCAAAGTCCACGCTGCCAGGGCACGGCTCTGCGCACCGACACTGCAGCGCTGGGCATCACCAGTAAATCCCAGTTAGCAGCTGAAGGAGAAATTTTGCTGGGGGAAGGCGAGGGGAAGGAATTCACCACCACAAAGACAGGAGACAGGAACTGCACACGGGTCAGTGTTGTATTGTGTAGCACTAATCCTGGTCCTGTCCGTCCCTCCCACACCAGTGACTGCTTGGAAGAGTCCTCCTCACCACAGAGGTGTACCCCCTGTACACTCAGGTACCCCCCATTTCTGTCATGAGAGCGCCTTTGCATGAAGGGACCAATGACCTTAGCGAATCCCATCAATGTACACAGGTGTGCAACTCCAAAACAGCATAACAATAACCCCAAACTATGGCTGCAACCCAACGCTTCATCAACACCACCACATTTCACTGAAGTACCCCCTTAAAATCCTGCCAGGCAGCTCCTGTGATCGTAGCCCCTTATCACAGATGCATCACGTTCGGCGCTGCCTCGCTGAGGAGTCTTGGGAAATGCTTCCCCAGAAACATAATGAAATTCAGCTCATTTGATTTATCGGTATCTTGCTTTAATCTCCTGTAACGCAATTTGTGTCTGTGGGGCAGATGAGGAATGGGGCTGCGGCTGCCGATTACCAGGGGTGAGGCTCAGGGCAAGGCTCCCCGACAACGCGGGGGTCGTTTCTTTATTCCCATGTGCACCCCCAATCCACCCGTTTCTCAGTGACATTCCCAGCTGCCCAAAAGGCGATTAATTCACAAAACACTTACTTTTCCGAAGCTGCCCTTCCCAATAGCTCGCAAAATCTCAAAATTATCAAAGGTGACTGCAAGAAAGAGAAAACATTCAAACATTAAATGACTGCTAGATGGTATTACATTATTTCTACTTTTTCCTCCATACGATAAGAGCTGAGAAAAACAGGGGGTACCCTAGCAAATTCCTGTTGGTTTTGGAGATTTGGGTGCTGTTTCAAACTTGGTGTGAGCGCTCCCTGTCCTGCCCGTTAA